TTTTTTTTTTTGTACACCACTGAGAATTATTTTCTTGATTTAAACGTATGCCTAAAAAAATCTAATCAAATCAAAATTCTGGTCAGTATTGACAAGCTGATATTAAAATGTATACGATTTTGTCTCAATTAACCTTAAGTTTATTTGCATAGCTCTTTTCACAGTACACATTGTTTCAAAGCCGTTTTAAAGAAAATCATGATATATACCTATATATCCATTTTATATAAAGAGCTGTCCAATAATATAGTTGCAGTCTGTGACAAAAAAAGGTAAATAAAAAAAAATCTAAAAAAGTTGAGATTTGCTTTATAGTATATATTGCTTTATGTGAGTGTACTGTATGTATGCAGATAAAGTTGGATATAATATATCCAACTTCATATATAGAACTGTGCAATAATACACACACACGCACACGCACACACAAAATAAAATTAATCAAGTGAATTTAAGCATCAAAGCATTGAAACTTACAGTATGAAAGACTTTTATTTTGAGATTTGATAAAGATTGGATTTAACAGTGTTATTAATTTATTAGTGTTTTTAAAACATTTTAAATGCTAGATGACAAAAAAGAAATTTAAATGTAAAAATATGGGAAATTAACAATTAAATATCCAATATCTGACAAATAAAAAAAATAAATGATTGACAGATATTGTACCAATAATTTTGTCCCAAAATCATCTTAGAAAAAAAAAAAAAAAACACCCGTCAGCAGATGCTGTGAGGGCCAAGGAAAAATAATGTTTAGAGGCAGGTGGTTATTAAAAGGTTATTACTCAAGATAATAGGACATAACTTGCAATGACTAATAGGAAAAACAAAATCTTGCTGATGTAACAGCAGGTTCAGGCACCAAAGGGCACAATTATTTGAATTTGGAGGCCTGTGAAGACAGTAAGAATGAACAAGTCTTCAAGACTGGCACTTCAATCTTTTTGAGGGACATTAAAAATATTGCACTTTTGGTTAGTATAAAATAACTATTTGGTGTATCCATTTCCTGTATGGGACGTCAACTGGGGACAATCCATGCTTGTGCACCACTAAAGTCCAAAAACTGCCAAAATATTTGGATTATGATTTGACCACAGAGCTAAATGATAAATGTTCCTCATGTTTTGCTGCCTGAGGAAGAGCCAAATATGTGGTAAAAAGCACAGTGGCAAAGAGCTGATTGAATTGAAACTGCTGTGAGTTTTGTCCAACTTTATTTACGTCACTGCAGAAACCTCACAGGCCAAGTGTCGTACGTTTGGCACATTCAGCCAGCTCTCAGAAAGAGCTTCTGTTAACAGCTTTTTTAACAAGAGATTCAGGAATTCACATATTCAGTAACAGGAAGTACACACTGACTCAATGATACACAAATGTCAAACACAAGAAAACATCCTGTGAGTTTTGTCAGGTTTTTCAAGGCTGTTCCAAAATATCCAACAAGTTTAAAATAAATCTAAGTTGGTGGACAAAGTGAAAGAAATCCATCAAAAAACTATCATTAATAGACTGCTGCAGGGATGATGTATTTTTGTAGGTCAACCCGGAAGTTCACATCACCCTGGTTTCCTCAACAAAAAGCCAATAGTATTTTTATATTGACCTTTGGATTATTCCAGAAAATGAGCTCTGTGTCCAACAGATGTTTATATTTCTTACACTTTTTGTTCATCAAGACAAACTCCACAACTTTTATGAATTTTCAAGCCTAAATACAGAAGTAAAAGCATGACTTCAATGTCACCACCATTAAGCTTTAGAAAATCTACAAGTTTGAGTTAGAATAGTTTGCAAGAATGTGAGTATGAACACAATGAGGCTGTAAAAGTGGACTAATAAATAGATGAGTTTTCCTGTTAAGTATAATGACAATTCATGTCCCAGAAAACCTCTGTAGTCCCATTTAACCACTTGTTAGCAAGTGCCTTTTAAAAGCAAGTTGCAGAATAAAACGTGAAAATAGCTTGCGTTAACCACAGACCTTATTTGTGACCCTGGACCACAAAACCAGTCATAAGGGTCAGTTTTTTGAAATTGAGATTTATACATCATCATTTATACACGATCGGACAATATTTGGCCGAGATACAACTATTTGAAAATCTGGAATCTGAGGGTGCAAAAAAAAAACAAAATCATGTCTTGAGCGGTACTAAGTTGATTCTGACTAAATTAAAAACCTTTGATTGGTCTTTGCTTTCATAAGCTTAACTGACATGCCTGTGATACCAATTACACAAATGACCCACATTGAATTCTAAAAACATTTTCACTGAAAGGTGGTACGTAAAGTTGTCCTGAAAGTTGGGAAACATAATGCTAAGTAACTGCAACTGTGCTAACAATCAAGCATACAATTATTTGATGACATTTCTGTCTGCAAGAGAAAACATGCATACAGTTTGGAGGTGTGCAGTAACGGGAGAAGACTTCCTCTTTCGGCTGGTTGGGATAGAGGAAGAGCAGATGGTTCAGATCACTGATCCGATCAGCCAGAGAGCGGATGGAGAAATCTTTAGTAGTGAAGGGCATCAGGTTCCACACCATCCGTTCTCCTGCACAATGAAACACACAAACTCAGAATATGATAGCTGCTGTTAAATTCGTGCATTTCTGTTCATCTTAGACGCATCTTTGGCTAAATGCATCTCAGTTCTCATTAGTGTTGTCTTCACTAACCATTTACTGTGTTCCTTACCTGCTTTGTTCGGGTTTTCTGCGACCCATGCAATGGTGATGCCTCCGATCTCAGAGTCGCTGAAGCGCAGAAGGAATGTACCGTTTGGTTTGGACATCAACATGTCTTGAGCTTGCTGCTTGTTCAGGAAACCCAGAATCGCTCTGCAGATAAACATACATTTTACTAAATGCACTCTTATTGGTGCGTGAAGTGTGCTGCATTAGTCTTTACCCATCATTCCAGTGAGACTTCAGGTGTTTCTTCATGAGCTCAATGACGCCATCAAACCACTGCCAGAATGTGAAGTTCCTGCCCGGCAAACTCTCCTGTCAACACAAGAACACCCAAGACTGGATCCTGAGACTGGATATATTGCATTCATTTTAAATGTTCATTCACTTTTCTTCTTTTATATCACTGGATGTTTTGAGGAAAAATATAAAGTCAAGTATTGGCTCTCAAGGAGACAATGTATAATAGGGTTAGTTGCTGCACACTTATTCTGTTTATTTTTTGGCATGGTGTAATTACATGTTCCCAGACATCCTGCACTAACATATGTGACCACAAAACCAGTCATAAGGGTCAGTTTTTCAAAATTGAGATTAATACATGATCTGAAAGCTGAATAATAATCTTTCCACTGATGTATGGTTTGTTAGGATCGGACAATATTTGGCTGAGATCCAACTATTTGAAAATCTGGAATCTGAGGGTGCAAAAAATCTAAATATTAAGAAAATTGCCTTTAAAGTTGTCCAAATGAAGTTTTTAGCAATGCATATTACTAATCAAAAATACATTTTTTATATATACAAAATATCTTCATGGAACATGATCTTTACTTAATATCCTAATGATTTTTGGCATAAAAGAAAAATCAATCATTTTGACCCATACAATGTATTTTTGGCTATTGCTACAAATATACCCCAGCGACTTAAGACTGGTTTTGTGGTCCAGGGTCACATTTTAGGCATTTAACCAAAAGACCCATTGATTTTGAAACCATGGTACCAAGTCCAAGAATGCTTGCTTTCGCGTTTTAGGACTCATTCCTTCAGCACTCTATAATTCAATGAAATCATAAATGGGTTAATTTACTCAGGATAGTTGTGTGTTAACTCAAGTTAACAGCAAAGTCAGAAAATCAGTTGAGTCGATTCTCTGGTGCACTATGGAGAACTAGAGAGAGTTATGCCTCATTGCCTCACTTGAGTAAATGACTGTGTGTGTAAGTATGAATGGTGTCTGTTTCAAGAGGGTAGAGAGAATGTCAGGACATAATTTATCACTCAGTGATCCTCCCTCAAACTTCAGCCCCCTATGGAGAAAACATCATCACTGGTATCTGTGGACCTGAAAGGTTACGAGAAACTTCTCACCTTGTACCAAGAAGCGTACATCCTTAAAGCTCTGCCCAACGTCATTCTGTACTTCACACCTGTATTGTCCAGAGTCGCTCGGCTCTAAAGGACGAGTAAACAGCAGGCTGCCATTAGATGTGTCCACACCTGCAGGCATTGGTGCGTCCAGTCTGGGGAGTGACAAAAGACACGATTATCAGTTTCGAGCTTGTTGATGACAAGTTTTGCTGCAGCCTGCAGCAACTTTGAATTCTCTTCTACAACACTGAAGCTTCCGAAGTTTACCATTGAACTGACATGACCAATAAGATTAGAAGAAGCAAACTTTAGTGTAGATGAGTGTACAGACCTGGTCCAGAGGTACATAAGAGCAGGTGGGTTGGCACTGGCTCTGCAGTCCAGCTGTACATTTTTTTGTCCCACGTACCACACGTCCTGCTGGCCTATCACCGAAACATCCGGAGCAACTGTAACATAATTTAAATCATTGTTGCATGAAGGCAAAATATGATCGGCTTGCTATAAAAATGTATAGCGCTTAGCAAAACATAAACCCTTTTCTTTCTTCCACAGAACACAAAAGAGGATATTTTGTAGGACTGGGCATTAAGACATATTTCACACAATTTGATTTCGTTTGACAAGCTCTCGATTTTAATTCATCTGAATATATATCAGATACAGTACAAATATATATCTCTTAACTAATGTTGTAAAATATACAGGGAACCTCTAGGTACTAGTATTAATTATTAAAGGTTAAAAATGTAACTATTAAATTCAATTGATATTAGTGCTGGGCGGTGTGACCAAAAATTTATATCACGGTATTTTTCAAAATTATACCGGTTTCACGGTACATGACGGTATTTTTTTTCATGCATGACCGGGTGTTAACCATATTTTCTACTGATTGAGAGAGGAAATACTGCAGTATATTGACTTAGAATGCCCTATTTTACTGTCAAAAAATACCACACTAAATAATAACTAAACACGACCCCTTTCAATGCATGTTAACCAGGAGTCACTCTCATTTATAATCACGGCATCGTCTGATAAAATCAACATGCATCTACACTAAAGAGCGGCTATGCGGTTGTTTTGGCTATATTACTTTTTTGTCTCATGCAGCGCACTGCCTGCGTCTGAGTAACTAACTAAAAAAAAACAACAAACAAAAAAAGTGCATGTGATATTAACAGACGAACTACGCTCATATTTATAATTCCAAACAATCAGTAAGCGACAGGTGCTAGGAAACGCTGTTTTGTACTCATTTATTGACGAGTCGGCTGCGGTGCGCCAACTGAATGCACTGCTTCTCTGCCGCTCACTGCACAGAACAGACGCCGAGAGAGGTGACACTTCTCCCGGAAAATGTCAGACCTCATGTTCGCGGGACAGCACTGGCGAAATCTTACAACTTAACCATAGCTAAGGTTTATCCCAAAAAGTCGCTAGGTTTGTCAGTATGAATATTCCATGGAAAAAAAGCCGCTAAAAGGGTCTGAAAGTTGCTAAATCTAGTGCTAAAGTCGCGATCGTGTGTGTGTGAGATGCGGGAGCTGATGGCAGGGGGCGGTGGATATTTGTGGCGGTCAATGTGGATATTGTGGATGAGTTCTTCTGTGTCATCACGTTCTATTAGTTCTACAGCTTCAGTTTCGGAACTTTCACGCTTAGTAACACATACAGCTGTTCCCTCACCACAGTGCAACAGTGAAAAACGGACCCCTTTCAAACAGTGTCGCGTTCCGAACGTTGTATACTATATTGCGGTATTTTAAAAATTCATATCATAACAAAAATAAACACCGGTATTCAGTATGAACCAGTATACCGCCCAGCACTAGTCTGAGCCATTTTTGAGATGACTAGATTAGAGATCGACCGATATATCGATTTACCGATATTTTTCCCGATATGTAAGCATTTTACCATAATCGGATATCGGTTTTGTAATATCGGATTCACCGATAAACGCCGTTCCGAACGTTGTTTAAGCGACATACACCGGTATTGCGGTATTAAAAAAATTCATATAATAACAAAAATAAACACCGGTATTCGGTATGAACCGGTATACCGCCCAGCACTAATTGCTATTCATTTTTAGATATTATTATGAACACTGTTAATTGAACATGCGGCAGTTTATATCAACTTCTTATTGACATAATTATGTTTTCTACTCTAATTTGTTGTTGAAATATAAATGATTAAATGGTGGTTGTCATAAAAACTTATTTCAATTCAAAGACTGATTCCTGGTATTTAAGATTTGATACAGATTCATCAAAATGAAGATTAAAATCAAATATCGGATATTGTCAGCCCAGCCCTAATATTTTGTTAAATGTCAATGCTGCTCTGTCCTATACAATGAAAATGACTTTCTCATGAAAATGTTCTCATTTTGTGTTCCACGACAGAGAAAGTCAAACAGGTTTGAAACAACAGAGTTGAGTAAATGATTGTAGAGTTACATTGCTTTTGGGTGAACTCACTCTTTAATCCATATAAATGCTACTTTGGAAGCTCACTTTATGTAGTTCCCTGTAACTTTTTTTTTTAAGCAATGAAACTATAAATTATTTTAATAAGACATTAAATTTGAGCATGACATTATTCTCACGCTCTGGATGCGAGTCCCAGAAACAGCGAGGGGAGATGTGATTGGCTAACTCAATTACACAGAAACCTCAGGATACTGAGGCTTAGCTGTGGCTGAGAAAATAAACGTATGTGTGATATGGAAAGAAGATTCAGGAGTGAAACAGAGCCTTGAGATTCAACCCCAGCAGTCTATATAACAACAATGTGATCAAATTCTTATCAACATTACCAGTATTCTACTTTCTTATTGAACAATGTAAACAACAGTTGCCACATTCAAACTACACTGTAAATCAGAGTTTTTTTTGTCTTGTTTAGTAAAATATATAAACATTATTAAATCTTAAAATGAATTTACTTGAGAATCATAAGACTAAGAGAGATGTTAAGACTTAAAAATTATATTTCTAAATGTATATTTCTTGACGGATTATTCTTTTGTTCTCATTTTAAGCATAAATATCACAAAATTTCAGGGTCATGTGACACTGAAGACTTGAGTAAAATGCTGCTGAAAATTCAACTTTGCCATCATGGTAATAAATTACATTTAAAGAAATATTCAAATCGAAATCAGATATTTTCAATTGTAATTGATTTTACTGTATTTGTGATCATATAATTTTTATATAGTTTTGTTCTTATATTAAGCATAAATACCACTAAATTTATGTTCTGAACAAGACTTCAACAGAAAACAATTTTTGCAGTGTCTGCATGGTCAGCATTGTCTATGATAAAACACATAAGTATTAATACATTTATAAGGTTGTAAAACTCAAAAGTAGTTTTCTCACTTTTAAACACTTTGGAAGGCAATGTGTGAATTATTGAGCACTAAAGCCTCCTTCTTTCAGTATGAACTCCCTCACTTGTATTTCCGCTCCTGTTGCTGCCCTTGCTGTGCTCAGATCAATAAAAGCGCCTCCATTAAGCAGTGCGCCGTTCAACCAGACAGCAGCCAACAGTTGACGATGCCAAAGGAAAGCACACTGAAGATTACGACGTTAAAATAACTCCTAAATTGACATCTTGTAAGTTTGAGAGCAGCAAAAGTGAGCGATCAGAGCTCCTTGGAACATACAGAAAACCCATGAAGATCTTGAAATACGAAACAGGAGTAAAGTTCTTCTACAGGGAGAATGTTGATAAAAGCAATTCACACTCACAAAACACATTGAGCCGGTAGGGAATGCGGAAATCCTTGGATAAGGCCGGGTGACGAACAACGCAGCTGAGGGACCGGCCAAATGCATCCCGGGTCGGGGCCCAGACATAGTGGACTGAAGTGGTGGTGGTGCCTTCAGGCTCTTGCTGTGTGATGACTGCTGACGGCTGGCCCGGCAGGTCTGAATCCCAGAAGACCTCTGCTGCTGGACGACCCCTTTCAGCTGTACATGTCGCCACCAGAGTTTCACCATCTCCATCCAACAGAGACAAAGAGCCAGGAGACACATAGACCTTTGGCTCCACTAAAGGGAGAAAATGAGAAAGAGATGAAGCACAAAAAAAAACTGAACAATAAACTCAGACAAGCTAAAAAATGTAGACACTTTAAAACCTATTTTAGTTTAAATCTTGTTTTTATTAATGAATATTATTACATTAAAAAAAAAAAAATTGTTGTTCAGCTGTTGGACGTATAGGTAAAGGCATGTGTGAATAAAACAATATATATATATATATAGAGAGAGAGAGAGAGAGAGAGAGAGAGAGAATAGCATTCAAAAGTTTCACACCAGTACACAAATTAAAAATTTTATTCAGCAAGGACACATTAAATTAATCAAAAGCGAGATTTATAATCTAAATGCTGTTCTTTTGAACTTTCTTTTCATCAAATAATCCTGGAAAAAAGGAATCACAGTTTCCACAAAAATATTGTGCAGCACAACTGTTCATCATTGATAATAATAAAAAATGTCTCTTGAGCAGCAAATCAGCATATTATGATTTCTGAAGAACCGTGTGACACTGAAGACTGGAGTAATGATGCTGAAAATTCAGCTTTGCATCACAGGAATAAATTATTTTTTTAAATATATTAAAATAGAAAAAAGTTATTTTAAATGATAATATTATTTCACAATATTACAGTTTTTACTGTATTTTTGATCAAACAAATGCAGCCTTAGTTCCCATACAAGTTTTTATTTAATTTAAAAGCATTAAACAAATCTTACGGATTAGTCTTACTAACACATTTTTAAATGGTAGTATACCAAAAAAAAAAAAAAACATTAAAAAACAAATGTAAAGTAATGTTTTTTTTTTATCATGTATAACAGTACTTGACTAAAGCAACAGAAAAACAAGAAATAAATAATAAATGAAATGAAAGGGTCAGGAAGAACTGTACAAAATGAAAACCTACAGGATGATACACAACAAGATGAATAAATAAGGAAGGAAGGAATGGGGAAAAAAGAAACCATGTTAACGGTGGAAACAGGCATTAGTACAGTCAGAATTGATTTATTACACCAACCCTACAAATTCACATTAAAAATGGATGATCTGAAATTACTGAGTGCAGAGGTAGGAGTACAACAACATCCCTGAGTGCGTCTGAGTGGCTTCTGTCTCTATAGAAAAGTGGCATATTAGTGTCTTAATATTATAGAGAGTCCACATGGATTTAAAGAGAACAAAAGGAAAGACACATTGTGTATTACAGTTGAATCAATCATTGTAAAATGTTCGGCAGCCCTGAGCAACAAAACCCCACACTGCTTGAATTAAAACAACTGACTCAATTTGAGCTATTGTTTTTATTTCTGAAATAACATTAGCTAAGAGACCACTCACCTCAAAGGTTACATTCGCTCTACAAGCCAGTGTCCAATTTCAAATTTTCTGTTCAAATTCAGTTTTGTGAGGATATGCACATGACCTGATTAATGTGGTCCATATATCCTTATACCATGGTTCTTGGCCTTCACGTTGTGCATTAAAATCATTTAATGCACAGCTAGCCATGCATGATCCCTTTCTTATACTACACTACACAGGCAAAACACCCAACACTGGCGCATTCATTATAAGATAATCAACAAATACACTGAAAATGATATCATATTTTATAATTGCATGAAATAAGAATAACTTATAGCCTTAAATGTATCAGCATTAACATTAACATGACAACATAACAATTGTGACCTCTTCTTTTAAATACAACTACCTCCACCACTACTAATTATAACTCTATATTGCAAATTTATCATTTGTTTTAATTGACAAATGAGTAAAATATCACAATATCACAGATTCGAATCATTGTATTTAATCACAAACCATTATTGTCATAATAATGTATTGATAATTAGTATAGGTCCATAATAACGTATAGGTCCTTGCTGATACTGTTACATTTGCTATTGTTCAAATGTTTCGGAGTCGGTAGATTTGTTTAAAAATGTTTGTGAAAGAAGTCTCTTATGCTAACCAAGTCTGCATTTTTTGTTTAAACGTACAGTAAAAACAGTAATATTGTGAAATATTATTATAATTCAAAGCAACTGTTTTCTATTGTAATATATTTAAAAATGTAATTTATTCTTGTTATACAAAGCTGAATTTTCAGCATCATTACACCAGTCTTGAGTATCACATGATCCTTCAAAAAAAAATAAAAAAAAATTCTAACAAGAAACATGACTTATCAATGCTGAAAATAGTTGTGCTGCTTAATATATTTGTGTAAATCATCATATTCTTTTCAGGATTCTTTGATGAACCTCTTTTATTTTAAACTATAAATCTTTTGTAACATTACAAATGTCTTTAATGTCACTTTTGATAGGGGTGGGGATCGCAGGGTACCTCACGGTACGATACGAATCACGATACGATAATATCACGATACAGCTCTGCAATAATAACGTGATCAGTGCCTATAGTGCATGGGCTAATAGCTGTTCCGGGCCAGTTTTTTAGTTCTCATTTCCATAAACATATATAGCAGTAGAGCTAATACAGTGGCTGGAAATCTGTTTATCCTTCGGTTCCTCGTGCTTCCCCATCTTCATAGAGAACGCGGTTCATGGTTGCTTCAGAGTGCTTTGGAAAGAAGGTGCACATTTTAAGACTCTGGGAGCAGGGAAATCTATATAGAGCGCCTTGTTGTAATAATTCAAATATCGATATTTGGCGCCAGATATCGATTCTCTTATCTCATGAAGGACAACGATATATCGCCATATCGATATATTGTCCCACCCCTAACTTTTGATCAATTAAATGCATTAAAAATTTAATACAATTATAAAAAAAAAAATCTAGTGTAAAAATCTAGTAGCGTCTTACATGAAACTGGCAAAGGTCAGAATTGAGATTTGGGCCACAGTGAACTGTGAATGCAGCCATAATAAAATTGTATCAATACTATTTTAATTTGTCCTTTTCCCTCTTTCTTTTCTCCATCACTCTCTCTAGAGAACTGCAACAGCTGCGCTCTTAAGAAACACTTTTGCCATGTGGGCCAGGAACGTCAACTTAATCCTACACGCAAGGCCGTCTGCTCCACACACCTGTTCTACTCTGTTTACAGGCCGCTCCTGTATACGAGAAATCGAAATAACCCCAGGGACCCCTAATGCTAAATATAGCCCTGCGCCACCCTGAATGGTGGGGACCCACAGTGTATTACAGAGCGCTGACATCCGAATGCCAGCGTCAGACCCACCCTGCATTCATCTAACCTGAACCCTATGCCATCTGCATCACGCTGGAGCTCTGCTGACTCAGAACTTGCAGGGGCATCTTGGCAACTCATTCCCACCCAACCCTCCTGATAGAAGATGGGGAACGGAGAACCAGCTGATCTGATGTGCAGGTTGTGTGTGGGCGAAGGTCCCGGAGGAGATCAGGGTATTGATTTATCATCAGACGGGGAAGGAATGAGGGCCCGGTCATTGTCACCCACACAAATCCAGACCCAAAACATTCCTGCTCTGGGTTGCAGACCAGGGCTGTCGCCAAAACCACAAAACAACAACTTCTGTCATTATAATGGACTCCAAGTGAAAGCAAAGTAATTATGTTAAAAAAAGGAACAGAATGAATTGTCGGTACAAATTATACCGCTTAGCTTGCGAGCCGCATCTGATGTGTTTTATTGTTAAAATTCACACGGTCATTGAGAATTCCTCCGATGATTCATCACTGTTAAATTTACAGGAGTTAGGGATGTAGGGCGTCAGGGCGGCTTCAAGCTTGTGTGCAAAAAACACACAAACTCGAAGCAGCTGATTGGCCAGTGACTTTTATAGTTTTAGAGGTTTGAGTAAATTTCTCCCTTTTCTGTAAAAATGCCAAGGACTAACAATGCCTTTTCAGACTGGATCGATAAAATTCAGAAGTTTTACTACTTACAATAGGGAAAAGATTAGCTTCTGTTTTTTTATGTTTTGCTGGGAATGCAGGAAATAAACAAGAAGGAAAAAAATGGCACCCCACAAATCAAAACAGAAGGAATGTGCTATCATGCTAGTGTGTGACAGATATTTTTTGTCATCTCTGTAGCGTTTGACAACGCTTCATTTCACTCGAGCAGAAAGGGGGCTCTGTGAAGGGTGTTTCCAGCCCTTTCTGTAATTACAATCCACCAAAAATAAGTCATTCCAACACAAGTTTATAAATCATGATTTTCCTTTAATTCCAGTCTTGTTTTCAATAGAGAGTTTTTGGAATGTTAATCACTTTTAAGTGCCTTGCATAAATTAAAGCATAAATAAATAAATGTGTGTTTATCTATGTTTTGTTATTGTTAACACTTTTTTGTGCTTATATCTAATAAACAAACATGGGAAAAATAAATAAATGCATAAATTAATACATTTATGAATGAATGAATGAATGAATGTGTTTATCTATAATTTGTTATTGTTAATGCTTTTTGTGTTGAGAAAAAAAAAATCTGGGAAAAATCAATAAATGTATAAATAAATAATAATATAATGTATATAATGTTTTCAAAATTAATAATAATAATAATAAGTGCATTCTTATTATTATTATACCTATATTGCAAATTTACAGTTTCTTTAAACAATAACATTTCATATAACAACAAGACTTAGCAAGAGCTCATGAATACACAAGATACATGAATTTTTCAAAACATTAACCTCATCAATGAAAAGAGGTATAAACAATGTATGACCCAACAACTATAGGTTTCAGGAGGATTCTAATGTTTTACGAAATGATTCGCCTCAAAGAATTTGCAACTATACAATTACATAGTGTACAAAATGTTCACAAACATATACTCACCCATAATGTCCACAGTTGTGGATGCTTGCATGTTGCCAAGTTGGAAGGTGACCACTTTACAAGTATAGGTCCCAATGTCTGCAAACCCCACGCCCTGCAGGACAATGGATACATCATGCACTGAGGGCTTGATGAAGTGCACCCGCTTGCTGTACTCATCAGATATGGAGGTCCCGTACTGGGGGTTGAAGACAGCCAAAGTGGCGGTGCCGGAGGGCAGCCGGCGTTCCCAGGAACTCTGGGTCAGACTGAGGTTTGTGCTGACCTCCACCCTGCAGGTCAAAGTAACGTTTTTCCCCAGCACTGCAGTCACCTGCTCAGGAACCACAACTCTGTTGGCCCCCACACCTGGAGAGATACAGATCATCAGAAATAATGATACAGGAAATAGATTAACAGTTGCCAAGTTTCCATTCAACACGCTATAAAATAAAGGTTCCAATAGGGGGGGTTTGAAGCAATACAACAGAAGAAACATTTTGGGTTCCCCAAAGAACCTTTCAGTGAACAGTTCTTAAAAGAACCATATTTCTTAGTGTGAAGAACATTTTAATAATTTAAAGTACCTTTTTCCACTGTAAAGAACCTTTTGTGGAATGGAAAGTTTCTATGACTGTAAAGGTTCTCGTGGAATCATAGATGCCAATAAAGAACCTTTGTTTTTAAGAGTGTAATGTGAATAATATTTTACTGAAGAAACTTTTTCCATCATAAATAACATTTTGTGTAATGAAAAGGTTCCATGAATGTCAATAAAGAACCTTTATTGTTAAGAGTGAATTATTTGTTGTTGTTTTTTTTTTGGTTTAGCACATGAAATTGTTTATGATATAGCTGAGGGAAATGCTACGTATCTATAAATTGTTGCCAGTTTCGACAAAATCTGTGAATGTCGATACTTCAAATGTTGCGAAAAATCAATTTTAAAACATTCTTGACTCACCAAATTCAAGACTAATTGTTGCTCAAATAATGCAGAACATTTTAGAAGGAACATCTCACAGAAACCTTTTTTTGCATTATACTGTGAATCAGTTAAAAATGTTATATGCTCTTAATCAGTTCCATCTGTCTAATCTTGCTGCCATCACTTCCATCAGGAGAACCCTTGAAAGGTCATAACCGAAGTACAGTAGTGGGAGATCTCGTACGGCAGATAATGAGGGCTCGTGTTTTCCCCAGCCTTAATTACGCCCCATGCGGGAGGCCTTCCTTCTCAACTGCAGCGGGCTGAGAGCGCTGTGCCATACAGCCCGTGCTTCACATCCATAATGAGCACCATACAGACCCCCGCATCACGCCGCGGGATGCTCCGACTGTCCTCTGCATTAACCGTCTGAGCACCTTGCCTAACAAAAGCCACTGGAACAAGATGAAAAACACCAACATTCAATTTGGGAGTTTTTTACTGTTTAATAGGTCTCTTTAATCTGCGCCTGTGCCCTTTGCATGTTTATTTGAACATACTGGAGTTATTTGCTGATTCATGTAAACATGATATTCTGGCGAGGTGGCAGTTACTGTTACAATGGAAGAGATTGACTAAAAAAAGGTGTTGGGAAAAGAAGGAGATCAGAGTCCATAAGGGGTCCTATCAAAGACACCATGATATCAAAGTCAATAATTTTGTTAGCTTAAAGCTATCATGCTAGTGTACTTCTAAATATTGGCAAAAGTCATATTTCTTTTTTGTCCAATTAAATACCTCTACATGCTTCTACAAAAAAAAAAAAAAAAAACTTATATGTACACTATCGTTTAAATGTTGTGTGGTTGGTAAGAATTCTTATTATTTTTGCTCACCAAGGCTGAAATTATTTGATCAAAAATGCTGTAAAAACAGTCATATTGTGAAATATTATTACTATGTAAACAACTGTTTTCTATTTTAATATATTGTAATATGTCATTTATTCTGTTGATGGCAAAGCTGCATTTTCAGCATCATTAATCTAGTCTTCAGTCTTCAAAAATGTATATATATATATATATATATCATAAAAGCCTGATTTACATATATTCTTCATTTATTCAGTTTTTGTGAGACTGTGGTTGAACTTTTGGTGCTGTAATACTGATATACTTCTTGTTTGTTTCATGTAAACAGTGCTTTACAGATAGTTTTGTTGCTTTCATTCCAAGTACTTTCCTAGTACCCTTGCATGGATACAAGGCAAAACTCGCTAGGCTTGTGGAAAAAATGGAAAATACTACAAAAGATGGTATTTTGAAGATTTATTTATTTTTGTCCATACACTGAAAGCCAGTGGGGTCAACACTGGATCTTTTGTGTTCAACAAAGTAAGTCATACATGTTTAGAATGACAAAAGGGTGAGTAAATGATGACAGAATTTTCATTTTTTGGTAAACTATTCCCTTAACAGTCAATCTTGGTTAGTAAACAACAACACACTGCAGCTTAACCTCATGCAAGAAATCATGGTGTTCTAAAAAGCAAAACAAAGGAACACATTTCTGTGAAGATCACTGGAAAACACTGGAAAATTATAGGCTACAGAATGGGAGCTGTGCAAAACATATTCTGAGAGAAACACCGAGCAGTGAAAAAAAAAAAAACATCTGCTCAGTCATTAAAGCCCACAAATTGCTGCATTTTAGATAGAAAAATTGTTAATCGAGACACTAAGCTTTCCTCTCTTTAAAAAGAAGTTAGAGCATTTAATGCTGTTTTTACAAATGACTGTGCTAAGAAGTATTCCTACCATCAAAACAGTCACAAGGTAAAACCCATACTATTTAAAATGCATAGGCTGGGTATGTGAGATATCATAAAAAGTGGGTCTATGGAGGCACTAAATAGTGGCTGATATTTTGAAACCTTGGCAGCTGCATACTAGTGGTAAACCTCTGCTATTATATCATGCCTGTATGGGTGCAGAATCTCCCTCTGCCTGCTGGCTGACTGCTTGAATATCAAATTTGCTGAGACCAGAGGATCACCCATTTCAATTCACACTGAGATCATTAAAGAGTCATATACGTCAATCGGCAAACTGAGTGTAGGTTGCACCAGTTTACCTGTAAGGCTCAATTTTGACTGTTTTGTTAAACAGATAGATCACACAAAATGAAAATTCTTCCATCATTTACTCACCCTCATTTCATTCCTAATCTGTTTGAATTCTATAACATATAGCAACATATACATATTTAAAAAATAACTAGTTATTCAAAAAGGAGTGTATAAATGGGATCAAGAGCATTTCTTTACATTCGTTCTAACAGGACATACCTTGTGTATAAAATAAAAACTCTGAATGCAATAATGGAGCATAATGCAAAGGTCTCAAAACATGTTTATAAATTAGCAATGTGACAGTCTTAGAAATGCAATGCTCATGACGCAAGACACTGAAAAAAAAACAGCGAGGCGAGACAGATATTCCACACATAAACAAACTTGTACTGCACAAAACTATCACAGTTAGTAACTTTCTTGAAATGTACTTTCTTGAAAACAGTGGATTTAAAGCACCATCACTAAAAATATAAATAATAATGATAATAAAACTAAATAAACTAGTCAACATTAAAGGTAGGGTATGTATTTTTTCAAAAACGCTTTAGAAAACGGAGTTGGGCCGAGTACCAAAACAAACTTGTAGCCAATCAGCAGTAAGGGGCGTGTCTACTCATGATGGGGAGGAGAGAGCGCTCAGTGCACAGGACGGACATTAGCCGAGCCGAGCGACGACAGAAAGATAGAGATGGCGGATAAAAAACAAAAGAGGAAAACATCTGCGGAACAAAAGAAGGCTTACGATAAGGCAAGAATTAGGACCCGTGTAAATTTCGGATCAGCTTTCCAGCGCTGGAGAGAACTCAAGGAGCGGGACGGCCTGGGTTCGGACGCCGAGGTTGCTTTGTTTCTTCTCGATTGGTGAGCAACATTGGTTTAGCTTTGTTTCACAGAACTAATATATGCTGGCTTTTGCTTGAATATGTTCGTGTGTCATGTTTGCTTGTTTGTTCATCTGCAATCGTATTGTCGTTCCCTTCAGCTATGATAAAGACATTCGTTTCCACAACCCCACCTTTAAGGTAGTGATTCTAGGGGCCCACAGCAAATTGTCTGGGGTGCAGGATGTCTAATCTAATTTAAATGGCTAATTAAATTCTGAAATATCTATTCTCTTTAAAATGTTATTACAATATAAAATAATGGTTTCTATTTGAATATACTTTAAAATACAATTTATTTCTGTGATGCAAAGCTGAATTTCCATCAGCCATTACTCCAGTCTTCAGTGTCACATGATCCTTCAGAAATCATTCTAATATGCTGATTTATTATCAGTGTTGGAAACTGTTGTGCTGCTTAATATTTTTTTGGACCCTGTGATACTTTTTTTCAGGATTCTTTGATGAATAAAAAGTAATAAATGCTGTTCTTTTGAACTTTTTATTCATCAAAGAATCCTGAAAAAGTATCGCAGTTTCCAAAAAAAATATTTGGCAGCACAACTGTTGCCAACATTGATAATTCTTTCTATTAATAAATCAGCATATTAGAATGATTTCTGAAGGATCATCTGACACTTTATACTGGAGTAATGGCTGATGGAAATTCAGCTTTGCATCACAAAAAAAAAATCTATACTGCACTTACAACCAGAACAAATAAAGACACCCAGTGACAAATGTTAATGAAGGGGAAATATATAGAATAAAAATCATTGTCCTATTCCATGCTACAAGATTTCTATCTATTTAAATGTCAAACCCTTTTTTACATTATAAAAAATTTATGTGAAGTGACTTTCAACCAAAACTGAGGCTGTTCAGTAAGGAACCCTCTGTTTTACCTAGAGTTATAATGACTAGTTATAATGAAAGGAGCTTAAAATTGTGCTTAACTCTCAACAAAACTTAAAACCAGGCAAACTTCAGATGTGGTCTGAAGTTTGATGTTGGGCTGCCACATCAAAACCCAGGTGAGCACAAGGGTATTTAGAGTTCTTAGGATGCAAGGCAACATAAGACAACTTTTGGTCCCCCTTTTACTTCAGCGACAGCAGTAATGAGTAAATCTGATGATCAAAATGTCAAGTACTAACTGAATAGAGTTGTATTATTTTATCATTGGAAAACCAGGGTCAATTGGCATTTTAATTGGCAAAGGTTTGCACTGTTATTTATGCTTTATGTTTATGGTTGCCCTGTGTATATTTGTTGTGTTTAGGGCAGAACAACACACAGTCTGTGCTGTCTCCACTTCACTGCAGTCTGAGCTGTGGGAGCAGCTGTCACCTGTCTACCAGCCAACCCACCACTGACCTCGCAACCCTGCCCTGTCACGTACACACATACACTCTACAAACACATT